CTGAGACACACAGAGGGACAAGTGTCTCCACAGGACAGCCTCTCACCAGTGAGACACACAGAGGGACAAGTGTCTCCACAGGACAGCCTCTCACCAGTGAGACACACAGAGGGACAAGTGTCTCCACAGCACAGCCTCTCACTGCTGAGACACACAGAGGGACAATTGTCTCCACAGGACAGCCTCTCACCGCTGAGACACACAGAGGGACAAGTGTCTCCACAGGACAGCCTCTCACCAGTGAGACACACAGAGGGACAAGTTTCTCCACAGCACACTGTATTCTTCATCAGCTTTTACTGCCTACTACACTGCATCCTCCTGCACTGTGTGTCTTGAGAAGGATGGGAAGTCTACCTGCAGCTGGCTGTGGATAGCTTCCAGCTCTTGGCAGACCTGTTTCAGCTCGGCGGGTGGGTGCCTCCGTTCCTCTGACCATACAGACACGCCCCCCTCTCCTACCGGAGAGAGTCTGTCAGTGACCAGATCAGTCCAGGGACCAGTAACACTGCAGCCTGAAGATGGGGTCCCATCTAAAAGTTACAAATGCACATTTTTATTTAAAAAAACCACTTTTCAATTAAGAAGAAACAAATGAAGCTAGATACCACACAAAGGGTCTAATATAATGCATAGTATTTGATCCAGTGATCTCTCTCTCCAATAACCCTAAATATCCAAGATCAGGATGAATGATAAGATTTTAGACTACATTTAAATATACCGGTGGATGGAACCACAAACTCCTATTTTGCTAATGCAGTGATCAGTTTTATGCTGACTTATTTTTTCTTTTAAAAGTATTATTTAAATGACTACAGCACAGTTCAGAAATTAGAGTTGGGAATTGCTAAATCTAAACTTTGGAGCTTCACAGCTTTCTGGTTTGATAGCTTAATCTGCTTAATTCTGTTGTACATTAGACAACAGACACCTGTAGCTAAGCGAGTCTGGGCTTCTAATTTCCTCTTGCCATGCTGTCCTGTTATTTCTTTCTGCTACTTAATGCCTTAGTGAATGTAAGGACAAATCAAGACTGCTCCATGTCTTAATATTTTTTCACAATGTGTTTTTCCAAGAAGGCACCCCTGCCTGGAATTGAACCAAGAACACAAGAGCTGTTAGACACACATCAGTGTGAACCACCAGGTCATCTGTTTTTCACAGGAGAGATTCACAGGAGGAAGATTATTCTTCAACTGAGAAGTTAGAGCAGAGTCAATAATCACATTACACATTTTTTTAAAGATATTAAGCCCTGAAGAACTCTTAATCAGTCCAATATAACATTAAATCCTGGACATGCATGGTCGGTTTTCATCAGTTACTAACGTTCAAAGGTGTTTACCATAGGCAACGTGTAATAATTTGGTTTAACTGAAAGTCAGTGTCTGGTAAATTAGAAAGAAACGCAAATAACAAAAAGGAATCACTTGCAACAGTTTAAATGAGGAAATACCTTACCAAAAGACGGTGAGAGTCTCACAGACTGACCGCTTGAAGATGACGTATTCTCTGGGGAACCCTGAAAAAAGTTATGATTATATGCACGTTAAACCAGGCAACTAGCTGTGAACAGCAGTGTGATGCGGGAACTACCGTAAAGGAGACCCATCACCACCCCTCACCTGGACCTGGCTCAAACGCTTTCCACTACTAGGCGGCGCTCTTGAGCTCAAGCAAACCCAGCTGTTGTCAAGACAACAGCCGCGGCCAGTCAACGGAAGGACTTGTACAGAAATCCAGCTGAGGAAACCTTAAATCCCATCACTCGCTTTCAAAATAAAGTGTCTAAAAGACCTGATCTGCAGAAAACGGGGCGTTTGAGAGCAACTAACAGGGAAGACGTGTACACGATAATCGTACTTTGCAAATAAGACAAAAATACCTATATTGCAAAACTATTTTGGAAGCGTTTCGAGCAAGTCTTTTGGTGCACAGATCAAGACCTCTCAGATTCATCACTTCTTGAAAAGACTCCTTTTTTCCCCGACTCGGGTAGCCCACTGCACACAGCATTATTGATTACATTAATAGTTTCTTTAAAAAACAAGAATGACACTGAGCCGGAACACGGACAGTTTAATAATATAGTTAAACATATTAGATCAAAATTATATTACCATATTTCTTCCGTCTATGCACTTTAATCCCCTAAACCGCAACCGATGCGTAAAGGTGCAGGTGATCTTTCACACAAATAAATCTCTGCAATGAAAGAAGTTTCTTTTAAAAAATATGAAAGTTCACGACCAAATCGTGACAGAAGTCCCCACACTGTGGGCACCGAACGTGATAACAGTAGCAGCGTGATGCTAAACTCTGCTTGAACAGGAGCTGTTCCGGGTTTGAAGCGCCTCCCACGAAGAGCTCTTCCGGGTTAGATGAGCACAACTCGAGTAGTAGCGTGAACACAGCGACTTTAAGCAAATTGTTTTGCTATAAATGTGACTTCATCTTATCCATGATTTGTTTCCCCGAGGCAGCTTCTAGGAGTACTTTTATTTTGAAAGTTGCAGCGAATAGGAAGCCAGTTATCATCGCTTAATGTTGCCGGCTTCACACTGCTCCCTCAAGGCTTGCTTCCCTGTCGCCGGAGAAACGCACATGTTCACCAGTGTACCGATAAAAATAATAAAAACACACTCGGTTTTTAACGGACAGGACCTTCGGACCATCATTCACGTGTGCCGGCAGATTAAATAAAGCAGAATTTAAGAGAAAAGGTAAACAACCTACCATGTATTTTAAAAGAAGCCGATTCAAATTAATGCAAACTCCTTAAAGGTACAGTGTAAACCCAATAGACATAATCGAAAGTAAAACATGATCCAGAGGACACAAATGGAAACTATAGGGAACTGCATTTAAAACCGAGAACAAACGGTAAGTAGGGTTGTGAAATTCAGGCTGTAGTGGCCTGAATGACCTCGTCTTGCTTTTAACCTAAGGGTGGAATTTTAATGCAATGCACATTCCATACTTTAGTTTTATCCCTCAATTTGAAAAGCACACACTTTACCCTCAATAAAATCCAGTCAAGGCAGTTAATCATTTATAAACTTTGATGACCACAGGTAGAAACAAGACCTGCCAGCCCAGGTGTCTCCAGTCCTTCTCCTCAGGAGCCCCAGTCCAGTAGGTTTTATAGGCATTTAAATCATAAAACTACAGGCCTGGGGCAACTTAACTACAATCAATTAAACAGGTGGTATGTTTAATTAAGTCATTTAGAGAAAATACAGAACATAGAATATCCTTCAACCCTCAAGGACTAGTGTTCCCTTCATTGTTTCAATGTGTTTTTAATCTTTGAACAAAACAAGGTGATTTAGGGTGACCTATAAGAATCAGTAGATTGGGGGTCTCTTCCTCTTCAAACATGTGGGAAGAAAGTAAAAAAATAAATGTAAATACATTTGCAATCTGAAAGATTAACACAAAGTAAATTTAACAATATATCATTAATAACATCTAGAATGAAAGAAATTGATAATTGCAGCATGAACACAAATAAACAAATTAACCGTACAATTGAGGGTTAATCAAGCACAAAGAACTACTAGTAAGAACTCATAAATCATTTCAAGCCAATCCAAGAATGTAATGCAAGAATTCTCTTTGCGGAAAATTAATTCGAAGTCGCAGGGGTGGGCAAATCTGGTGCCGGAGAGCCTGCGTCTCTGCAGGTTTCTCTCTTCAAAGCAGAAGCAGCTAAAAAGCTGGCAGTGAGATGATTGATTTAAAACCTGCAGACACACCAGGGTCAGAATTGCTCACTCCTGGTGTAGAGGAACATGCTGAATACGGTTTGAAAAATTGAACACATTTCTAAGCTTTAAAGAGAATTTCTATAATTTGATATCATCCATAAAGGAAAAATTACAGCCATATTTAGACAAACGAATTCACACACTGTGATGCATTATTCAAAAGTATAAGGAAGATATTAAAATAAAGCATAATTTAATAAAGGGTAAGAGCTATTCAGCCAGTAGTTCTTGATTCAACCTCCCACCAGATACTTTACCATTAGTACAAAAGCAGACCAAATAATTCCAAGAGATATCGGCAGGAAAAATAAAAGGCATTACACTCTTTAATTTCAACTTTAAGACTTTTACAAAAACAGTTCATTGGATTTACAAACAGCCAGTGTTTCAGCTTTATTTGAACTCATGCAAAGTTTTCCCAACTAAGTTTTATAAAAAAAAACAAATCAATTTATATTTATACATACAAATACACCTTTACCTTAAATATGCAGATTTCACCTAATTTGAACTGCAGCGCTGAATTTAAAAGCAAGTGCATCGATTTCAAAGAAAACTACAACTGTCCACAGTTGGCAATGACAATCTTTTTCCTTGGTTGGCCAGTCACTGAACCAAGTTCTCCTATTTGCTTGATGATCTCCATGCCGTCCTTGACAAATCCAAAGGCAACATGCTTGAAATCCAGGTGTTCCGCCTTCTTCAAAGTGATGAAGAACTGGGAGGTGTTTGTGTCTCGGCCGTTGTTTGCCATAGAGAGCAACCCTGGCCCAGTGTGCCTCACGTCAAAGTTCTCATCTTCAAATCGCTCCCCGTAGATAGACTTGCCTCCTGTTCCGTCCTGATTTGTGATATCTCCAGCCTTGATGAAGAATGGGGAAAAATGTATAAAACAGAATAAGACAAAGTATCGACTTCGTGATTAGAAAGAAAAGTTTGAAATGCCATCTCACGTCTATAGGGATTACTCTTTTGTTCAACAGTTCATACATCACTAAAAGCTTTAAAAAGAGTCACACTACAGTTGCAAATTCAAAAATTACAAAATAATTCACACGGTTATTTTATATGCTATGAAAATAAAATGGTAAACGTTAAAACTTGAGGATTACTAGCCTGACCAAGTCAAATGACGCTGTCCTTACCTGACACACAAAATCTGGAATAACCCTGTGGAATTTGGAGTTTCGGTAGCCGAAGCCCTTTTCTCCAGTGCAGAGAGCTCGGAAGTTCTCGGTGGTTTTGGGGACAATGTGAGCGAACAGTTCCATCGTGACCCTGCCAGTGGGCTGGCTGTCGATGGTGATGTCGAAGAAGACCTTGGGGTTGTCTTCCCGCGAGAGCTCCAGGGCTTGGGACAGCTGCACAGAGTCCATCTGGGACATGCGGCGCTGGCACTCCTCAAACTTCCTCTTGAAGGACTCTGCCAGCTCCGCTGTTTTGAACTTCGCAGCCAGCTGCTCAACCTTCCCGTCTCCATCTGGGGGAAAATACAGCTACATGAAGATGCAGAAATTGCAGAAAAATGCAGAAGCAGGGAAAA